CAGAGCAGTACCATGAGAGGAGTAGAACAGGAAGAAGGCAGAATTGAGACCTTTCAAAGTTTTGGCCCAAGCGAGGGTGCATGGGGGCAGCATTTGAGCTCCCCGCCTCAGGTGCCAAAATGTTGTGGGCCAGCCCTGCTGAACGGGCCTGTGTTCTTAAAGATGTGTGGCTCATGCACCTTCCCTGACTGTCCTGGTGATCCCCAGCACTTGCAGTACCACTGAAAAGTAGGGAGTTGCCAATTCTATCAGGATGGATCAGGCTTCGTTAGCACTGACCCCCCACTTGGTAAGGCAACTCCCATCTTTTCATGTGTTGTATATTTATACTGCCTACTGTATTTTTCACTCCATGCATCTGATGAAGTGGGTTATAGCCCATGAAAGCTTATGCCCAAATAAATTTGTTAGTCTCTAAGGAGCCACAAGGACTCCTCACTGTTTTTGCTGATACAGACTAACATGGCTACCCCACAGACTAGACGCCTTCCTAGTCTGGGCCCAATCCTTTCCCCTGGTACAGTCCTTGTTAGTTCCAGCAGGCATCTTAGGTGAAAAGCAGGGGCTTTCTCATGACTGGGAGCTCTCTTTGTCCTGCTCCACCCCCTTTTATAGCTTTGGCACAAGGCAGGAATGTTTTGTGTCTCTGGGTCCCCACCCCTCCTTCTAAATGGAAAAGTACCAGATTTAAGATGGATTCCAGTATAATGTGACCTGGTCACATGCCCCATGAGACCTCATTCTTCATTAGCCACGATCTGGCACACATGTACACAGGAAGGTTTGCAAGTAAACAGAGCCATTTACAACCAATTGTCCTAGTCAATGGGAGCCATCAAGATTCTAAACCACCATTAATGACCCACACTTTGCATAATTACAGTAGGACCTCAGAGTTATACTTCATATTTCTAGCTTCAGATACAAGGACGATACATGCATACAAATAGGAGGAATATATTCAGTAGGTTATAACCTTTGTTATGATACCTAACAAGTGATCTTTTGTATAAAGCATATTCCAGTTACATCATATTCACACTCATGAGCATATTTCCATAAAACATTATGGAGTGCATCGTCACACTTGGTACTTATTTAGTACTTCACATCTTCAAAACACTGTACAAATACTTACTGAGGGCATGGCTACACTTGCAAATGTAGAGCGCTTTGAGTTAAACCAGCCTTCGTGGAGCGCAGTAGGGAAAGTGCTGCAGTCTGTCCACACTGACAGCTGCAAGCGCACTGGCATGGCCACATTTGCGGCACTTGCAGCGGCATTGGGAGCGGTGCATTATGGGCAGCTATCCCACAGAGCACCTCTTACCATTCTGGTGCTGTGGCTTGTGGGAAGGGGGCAGGGGGTGTGGGGCATTCTGGGTCCTGTCCCAACACCCCGTGATGCATCGGTTCGCATCCCAGCAATCCCTGTGCTTCCGTCCACATTGCCGCCATCTTTCAATGTTTTTTGTACCGCGTGCTCTGTCTGCCCTTTCGGTCTGTGGGAATGGAGCCCGAACTGCTAAGGAGTATGCTGACGAGTCTTGCCAGCACGTCATGTTTGGAAGTCGAGTTACTCCTTAAGATCCAAACTGACACTGAGGACTCTGATGATGATATGGATTTGAGTAAAGCATACGACATGAATTGCTTGTGGCATCCATGGACATGCTCACCACCACGGAATGCCACTTTTGGGCTCAGGAAACAAGCACTGAGTGGTGGGATCACATCATCCTGCAAGTCTGGGATGCCGAGCAGTGGCTGCAGAACTTTCGGATGAGAAAAGCCACTTTAATGGGACTGTGTGAGGAGCTCACCCCCATCCTGCAGTGCAAGGACAGGAGGTTGAGAGCTACCCTGCTGGTAGAGAAGCGGGTGGCTATTGCAATCTGGAAACTGGAAACTCCAGACAGCTACCGGTCTGTCGCTAACCAGTTTGGAGTGGGAAAGTCGACCGTTGGAATCATGTTGATGCAAGTTTGCAGAGTCATTAATCGCATCCTGCTCAGAAGAACCATGACTCTGGGTAACGTGCATAATATTGTGGCTGGCTTTGCACAAATGGGTTTCCCTGACTGCGGAGGGGTGATAGATGGGACGCATATTCCAATTCTGTCATTAGCCCACCTAGCCTCCAAGTACGTTAATTGGAAGGGGTATTTCTCTATGGTTCTCCAGGTGCTTGTGGATCACCGTGGGCATTTCATTGACATTAATGCAGGCTGGCCTGGAAAGGTGCATGATGCACGCATCTTTTGGAACACTGGCCTGTTCAGGAAGCTGCAGGCCGGGGCTTTTTTCCCAGATGAGAAGATCACCATAGAGGAAGTTGAAATGCCCATTGTGATCCTTGGAAACCCCACTTACCCTTATGCCGTGGCTTATGAAACCCTCCACAGGGAGCCTTGACAGCAGCAAGGAGGGTTCAAAAACAGGCTGAGCTGGTGCAGAATGACTGTGGAGTGTGCTTTTGGCCATTTAAAGGGCCGCTGGCGCTCTCTGTATGGGAAGCTGGACCTGGCCAATGACAACATCCCCGCGGTTATATCCGCATGCTGTACCCTCCATAACATTTGTGAAGGGAAGGGTGAAAGATTCACTCAGGCATGGAACTCGGAGGTTCAATACCTGGAGGCTGAATTTGCACATCCAGAGAGCAGGGCTATTAGAGGGGCCCAGCGTGGGGCTGCAAGGATTAGGGATTCTTTGAGGGAGCAATTTGAGGCTGAAAGCCACCAGTAAAGTCTGGTGCCCTGCACGGGAGTGAAGTGCAGTGGTTCAAATGTTAGTAGGAATCTGTGTTTGCTATGCTGACTTGCAGTGCCTGTTCCTTTCCTGGGCTAAGGTATCTTTTACTTTATGCAATAATAAAGAATGTTTTCATCGCCAAAAAATCCATTTATTGAAAGGAAACACAACTGCTTGGGAAACAGAAAGGGCCAGGGGGTGGGGTGGGGTGGGGTGGGGAACGGTACAATCACAGATTTGCGTATGTCCTGTTATCATACTCAGCCTTTCTGTCTGGAGTGCTGTGCAATGAGTGCTGCACTTCAGGATGGCTATAATGCATGGTGATGGGGGTTAAGTACAGTGGGTAAGGGTCGTAGTTTTCAGGGCTGGGTGGTGAAGCTAGAGGTATTGGAGGCAGCTGGTGGCGATAAGAACCCGGATGTTGGGGAAAGTGCATTGGAGGTGACATGGGGGCACAAGGGCAACAGTTTTTGGACAAGGGCTGCAGGGAGGGAGGGGTGTCACGGTAGTGCTTGGCCTGCATGGCTACGAGTGCCTGGACCGTGTCCGCTTGGCGCTCCATGATGCTTATCAGCCGATCCATGCTTTGCTACCAGAGTTCTGCACTTTTGTGCCGGCGCTCCTCATTCTGCTGGCGCTCCTCCTTTTACTCTCCCTCCACGCCTGCGCTTTTAGATTCTCGTTAAGGGACTGCTGCATTACTTCATGCAGCATGTCTTCTTTGCTTCTATGTGGCCTCTTCCTAATTCTTTGGAGTCTTTCGGACAGTGATAACATGGACAGCTGAGATCTCAAGATTGCATCTGTAAAGGTAAAATGCAACACTTAACAGAGGCAGTATTGTTCACACAAGACAGAGCAATGATTCCCCCGTACTTAAGGGCAAGCAGTTTACACAATAGTATAATTTGCCCATCCAAAGCGAGCACACTTAACCCCCGGGAGTCCCAAAATGGTGAGTAAGCACAGGGTCAAGGGGGACTGATTGTTTCACGGCCGTACTGTTCTCTGGATTTCTGTGCCTTGGGGAGAGCCAACAGCTGCAGGGGGCCCCTATACTGAACACTGTCCCCACATTTTCCATTGGAGTTCGTCCTGGAAGAAATCTCGCTGCTGAGGGAGACCTGGGAAGCAAGGGAGGGTCTTCTACTGCAATGCGGCTTCCACCCTGGCCCATATGCAGCTTGCCTGCGTGCAGCAATGGTCCCCTCGCAGCCCAGTGGCGCGGACATATTAGCTTGACTGGGACAAGGACCACAGTGGCTCTCCCGATAAACCTGCACAAGTGCATTGCCCAACTCCTGATGAGACCTTTGAAGACATCACTGAGGCTGATTACCGCGATGTGAGAGAGAACATCAATGCCCTATTCCGCATCTAGGCATGCATGCAGCCCTAGCCCTCCTCGCCCCAAGAGCCCGCACCGAATAACTTCCTTCCCAAAATAAAAACCACTTACTGGGAACATTTTCTGGTGTCTGTCCTTCCCCAAGCACCGTCCGCCGTGACTGGCTACCTTCCTCCTGGCTTGAGAACAGCTCTTGGCTGCATGCATCTAGGAATTCTGGGGTGTCTTCCTCCTCCTCAGCGCCCTCGCTCCCACTTTCCTCCTCCTCCTGCCTTGTTGAACTGGGCTCTGAAGTGTCCATGGTGGTCCTCAGAGTGGAGGTGGGGTCGCCTCCAAGTATCGTGTCCAGCTCTTTGTAGAAACGGCAGGTCACGGGGGCACCACCGGAGCGGCGGTTTGCCTCGCAGGCTTTGCAGTAGGCACTCTGCAGCTCCTTCACTTTAACCCTGCACTGCAGTGCATCCCAGTCATGGCCCCTTCCCATCATGTCCCTTGATATCTGCCTGAAGGTATCGTAATTCCTATGGCTGGAGGGAAGCTGGGACTGGACAGCTTCCTCCTCCCAAACACTGATGAGGTCTAGTACCTCGCCATTGCTCCATACTGGGGATCGCCTGGCGTGTGGAGGCATGATCACCTGGAAAGATTCACTGAGAGCACTCCACGCCTGGCTAAGCAAACAGGAAGGGGATTTTCAAAATTCCCAGAGAATTTAAAGGGTGGGTCTGATGGGCAGGGCAGTAGAGTTTACAGTGATGACCAGAGTGGCTAGAATAGGCATTGTAGGACACTTCTGGAGGCCGATCAGAGCGCATTAACAGACCAGGGCATCCGCACTGGCACTGTGGCGCTCCAGCAGGGGCGCATCAAATGTTATTCCACTTGCCGAGGTGGAGCACCTGGATCGCTCTAGCCGCGGAGTCTGGGCACTCTATGTGCCTTGCCAGTGTGGACGAGTCGTGAGTTAGAGCGCACGGGGCTGCTTTAATGTGCTCTAACTCACAAATGTAGCCATGCTCTAAGAGTGATATTCATCCTACTGCGGCACAAGAAACTAAGTGGTACGTAACCCTTGTTCTAGCCCTCTGAACAGGGGTGAATTCCCCCTTATCTGATTAATCCTCACAACAGTGCTATCAGATAGTTAGCAAGAAGGGGCCAGATCCAAAGCTTATTGAAGAAGTTTAGGGAGCACTAATGGTTTTTACCTTGTTCAAAGAATTCATCCCTCTTTACTCTCTGGAGTGTGGGGAAACTCACGAAAGGCATACTATGTGTGGGCTGAAACTGACCTCCTGTGTGGGGGATAACATACAATACAGAAAGCTTAGCAACTTCATTGAGTCATGTTTTCCAACTGTCCCTTTTAATCACTGGACTCAAAGGTCTACATGACTACCAATGTGCTCAGTCTCCCCCAGAGAAAGGCAGATAGCATTGCAGATGGCTATTATCTTGCTGGCTATATTTGCAAGAAGAACATGCTGAAGTGCAAATTTGAGCAGAAATTAAAAGTATTTACCCCTCCTCTCTTGATACATAATGGCAATGGCTAATGGGATAAGTGCAGAATGAGGCTTTCTGCTCAAGCATCAAGTATTGACCACTGCCAGAGGCACGATACTGGATTTAATAGATCAATGTTCAGATCCTGTAGGGCAAATATTATATACTATTGGTTTTATTCCCATTTTCAGAGGTTAACAAAACCTGGGCTCTGAACGCACCCTGGAACTTTTGGAAAGTGTGAATTTGGATTCAGACTTTGTGACTGGCCCCCAACCTTTATAAGGAACTGAGGCAGGCTCAGCTCTAAACTTTGTGGCTTAGACCTGTCTCTGTGCTTATTGCCTCTTGAATAATAAATGCCTTTTACTTTGTTCCTTCGTCCAGTTGAAACAAAACCAACAATTATTTTAAAAGACAATTAAATATTATGGGGTGAGCGGTTGCAAAGACATGATATAAATAAACACATACATTCAGTTCTTGAGAGCTGAAGGAAATTGTTCTTTGACCTTGTGCCTCACAACACTACCACAAGATATGGAGTCTAATGTTTCTAGACTTCTAGTCCAGCTGGATTATTTTCTGAAATGAAAATATGATTTAAAAGGTTCTTTCTTTCAGAAATCCAGATGCTACCCTTATGATTATTTTCTTACATGAAAATAACCCTTTCACTGCTATCCCCAGCTCCAGTCACTGTTTGGCAGAAGAATATGACATGACAAGAATATGGATGACATGCTGAAAGCAATGTACTGAGCTGCACTGCAGCTGTGTTTTGCTCAATGTACCTGTTGAGGCAGCACCCAATTGGTTAAATAAAGCCATAACATCAAAACCCTAATAAAAGGAATGGCCTGTCTGACATGGTACAGTAGTAGGTATGTTTCATAATCATCTAGATACTTACAGAATGGCTTTACTCACAGTTACTAACCAGCCAAATCCAGCATAGAGAAATCTAAATTTGACCTAGAGCTTATAGGAAAGAGAAGTCAACAGCAGATCATCTCCAGAACCAGCCAGTCATGTGATCCAATAAAATTGACACATTGGCACCCAGAGAACAATGGAACATCACAGACTGTGACATCACTGTGTGATTTAACCTCTTAGCAACTGGGGCTAACTAGATGCTGAACTAAGTTTTTTTTTTTTTTTTTTTAGTTAGAGAGACTAGAGGGGTGAGATAATATCTCTTATTGGACCAACTTCTGTTGGTGAAAGAGAAGCTTTTGAGCTTGCGATCTTCTTCAGGGCTGGGATGAACACAGCTACAATCACACCACCAACAAATTGTTTTTTTACACCCACTACGTAACCATTGCAGGACCATCTGTATTTTAGGCCAGGTGAAGGGGTATATATGACTAATCAGTAGGAAAAAAGGCAGGGGAAGCTAGGACTGTGGCCACATTCATTTCATTGATCAATCTAGTCAGGCCACAATCTGATGTATCAGTTTGCACTCTGATTTACTATTTTTTAAACCAGTAGATTAGCAAAGGATCAACTGAGCAGAGACAATGGGCCAGACTCTCTGCTCCTGCGGCCCATGCGCAAAGCAACCATCAAGCCAGCTTAACTGGCCAGTGGAAGGCGACCTCTGTCTCAGACCCAGGCACAGTGAGCAGTCTGGAGTAAAGGGGGAGGAGTCTCCAGGGCATCTCTACAATTTGGCAATTCCTGGCTTTCCCAATAACTCCTTGAGGCCATAGTAGCTGGGTGTAATGTAGAGCAGTCCTTTACTCTGGGACCTGACCAGTGACCAGACAGCCCCAGAATCAGGGGACTGCAAGTCCCCTTTAAAGCCATTTTTGCCCCTGCAGCCCATGCTGAGCTGAGGGCAACTTAGCAGAACCAGAGAATATCTGGCTCTATTTTACCAAACTGTGTGCAGGTTTTGTGATTGACACAAATTAGGAATTAGAATAAGACCCACCAAAATCATTTCACTTGTAACCCAAGGCAAGATTTATGCACAAGGGTCAGATCATCAACTGGTGTAAATTGATGGAAGTCAATGGAGCAATACTGATTGGGGATCTGGCCACATATCTACTGGGCTCAAAAGCCAGTGTGTTGGGAATTAATGACCTATTGTTTCAGAGGTGCTTAGCACCCGCAACTATAACTAAAATCCATGAGAGATGCAGGTGCTCAATGCCTCCACAAAATTAAGCTATACGGGAGTATGCGAGAGAGAGAAGCGGTGAGAAATTGAGGTGGGCTGGGAACACTAGCCTAGTGGAAAGATATATATGGACATCAAAGAGTTAATGCAATAATTTAGGAATTAAATAATGCTTGAAAAATTATAAAGTAAAGAAACAAAGAAAGAGTAAACTGAATTCAGACACCAGGATGCTCCCTGCAAAGTCCCACTGGCAAACAAAAATTACCTTTAGTGGCAGTTCAGGTTGCATCAAGACATATTCCACCCTCGCAAAAACCTTAAAAGAATGGAAATAAGTAAGGAAAACGAGTTGTGGATCCTTTCCACTTTTGTATTTCATACAACACGATCAATAACATACTCCAATAAGGCTTTCAGGTTCCATCTTCAACAGATATGCATAACAAGCAACATGTATCCAACTTCATCAAACTTGTTTTTATATCAAAGGCTCAGGACATCTGACGGTTGCACATTTCATGCCTTTGAGAAGCTATTATGCCTTAATACTGTTGAGGTGACTGTTAAGGTTTTGTGTTTAAGGGTTATACCCTATTAGGAAAAGAAGCAAACACTCCACATATCAGTCCTATGACATCACAGAATGTGTCTGTGGCTACATCATGAGAGTGAAGCCTGCTTTACAACTGGAAGCAGAAAATAATATATAACATTACAAAACAGGTTTCCTCACATAAACAAAATAATAAAAGAAAATGATGTTGTTTCTCTCTCTCTTTTAAGCCCTTGTGTATTGGCACTGATGCTTTTATTTGCTAATAGACTATAGAAGAGAATAAGCCTAATGAATGAACATAAATAATACTGGAAAAAATGCAAATCCGGAAACTGTTACTACAAACGATTTATAGAAATAAGCCACCAAAAAGAATGATTTTTACCATAAATGAACATCTTCCTCAAAGACTAACAAGTCATTAAAAATTAAAAGCATACAGTACACAAGTGAGGCAATGCAGCAGTAGATATGAAGAATGGGAAAGATGGTTCTAGGACAAATATTTGTTTACTTAGTTTACAATTCTGATGTTTGTTTTATTGGCTCGATGTAATCACTCAAGTCCTGGATCCATAAATTTCAATCTTCACTCTTTCAGCTGCCATAGCAACTTGATAGGTTAGTTCTCTGAGATCTTTTATAATCTCATCATTGTGAATCCATATTTAAAATTTAGGCACCTAAATAATTGGCCTGATTTTCAGAGGAATTGACCATCTATAGCTCCTAGTGACTTAAATTGGAGTTGTGGATGCTTGGTACTTCAAAAAATCTGGCCCCAGGACACTTATTTAGAGGACACATATTTAAATCTAAATATGGATTTAGGTGCGTAGCCTTAAGCATCTATGTTTGAAAATGTAAGCCTATGTTATTACAGGGGTGCAGGTAGCACTGCCTATAGATAAGGTTATCTAATCCTTTCTATTTTAAGACCCTCTTTAAAATTACTTATAACTTTGCCAAATTTTAACTGTTTGGGCTGAAATTTTCCTGCTGGGTGTCTGCCTCAGGCTGAATTTATTTCTGGAATTTTTCAGCAAAAATAGTTTAGCTGTTTCCAAAGAAAAGGCTCGGGGAAAATACCTTGTTTTGTCCATGTTAAAAAATCCTAACAATCATTTCATTGAGAAGCTCTAGCACCTCTATGTATTGAAGTAGAAACTGGATGTGGGAAGGGGAGTAGCTCATGTCAGATATGTACTTTTCACCATTCCTGTGAACGTATGTGTGACGGGTTGGATCACAGAACCCCCTTTGGGAGCTGCCAACTGATGTGCCAAGACTACTTCTGCCCCTGCTTTCCCTGCCCCGTCAGCTTAAGACTTCAGTGCCCTGCCTGGTTTGAGCCAGACTCGCTAGCCTGCTGCAAACCCAGACCCAGATCTGAATCATGTCCCCTAACCACTGTAGGCTTACCTGAAAGAAGCTTACAGAAGTGTTCTTGTCTTTAACACTCAGATGCCCAACGCCCAGTGGGGTCTAAACCCAAATAAATCCGTTTTACCCTGTATAAAGCTTATACAGGGTAAACTCATAAATTGTTCGCCCTCTATAACACTGATAGAGAGATATGCACAGCTGTTTGCCCACCCAGGTATTAACACATACTCTGAGTTAATTAATAAGTAAAAAGTGATTTTATTAAATACAGACAGTAGGATTTAAGTGATTCCAAGTATTAACAGCCAGAACAAAGTAAGTCACCAAGCAAAATAAAATAAAACATGCAAATCTATGTCTAATTAAACTGAATAAGATAATCTCACCCTTAGAGATGCTTCAGTAAGTTTTTTCCTCAGACTGGACACCTTCCAGGCCTGGGCACAATTCTTTCCCCTGGTACAGCTCTTGTTCCAGCTCAGGTGGTAGCTAGGGGATTCTTCATGATGGCTCCTTCCCTTTTGTTCTGTTCCACACCTTTATATATCTTTTGCATAAGGCGGGAATCCTTTGTCCCTCTCTAGGTTCCCACCCCCTCCTTGTCAATGGAAAGACACCAGGTTAAAGATGGATTCCAGTTCAGGTGACAGGATCACATGTCACTGTAGGACTTCAAGCCTTCATTTCTCCCAGCCAGACTCACAGGAAGGCTTGCCTGCAAACAGAGCCATCCACAGTCAATTGTCCTGGTTGATGGGAGCCATCAAGATTCCAAACCACCATTAATGGCCCACACTTTGAATAATTACAATAGGCCCTCAGAGTTATATTTCATATTTCTAGTTTTAGATACAAGAGTGATACATTTATACAAATAGGATGACCACACTCAGTAGATTATAAGCTTTGTAATGATACCTGACAAGAGACCTTTTGCATGAAGCATATTCCAGTTACATTATATTCACTCATTAGCATATATTTATAAAATCATATAGAGTGCAACATCAGAGTATGTCCAAAATTTGACCAAGTGAAGCGGCTCTCAAAATCTCAGTTTGCACCTTCCTACTAGAGACTTTAGAGTTTACTAAATTCTCTGCAGATTCCATCTGCACCAACTATGCTCCAGCCTTCCCATTACAGCTTCTACCTATGACTGGACTCTGCCTGCGGCTGCACCAGTGCCATTCCCCACACAATGACTGAGCATGCTCCTACCAAGGACTTCAGATGCTTAGCAGGATTGTTGCTGCAAATTGCTATGGCTACTCTTGGCAGCTAAGGGCTAATGTGGTGCTGGGCAGAGGAACTGAGAGTCGGCTAGGGCTACCATATGTCCGGATTTCCCCAGACATGTCTGGCTTTTCGGTCTATAAATAGCCGTCCGGGGGGGATTTTAAAAAATCTAAAAATGTCCGGGATTTCCCCCCGGTCGGCTATTTATAGACAGAAAAGCGGCGGCCAAGCGCCACTGGGCACCCAAAGCCCCTTCCCGGCTCCCCCCCATCCCCTGAAGCCTTACCATGCTGTCCGGCCCCGCAGCTGTCTTCCCCCTCCTCCCCTCCCGTGAACGCTCCGCCCACCTGCCTCCTCCCCCCCCCCCCCCGCCGCTTCCCGCGAAACAGATCTTTGCGGGAAGTCTGAAAAGAAGCAAGGGCAGGCGGGCGGCAGCAGCAGGTAAGCTGGGGCGGGGGGGGAGGAGAGCTCCGGGGAGGCGCAGCCCTGGCCAAGCGGCTCCCTCTGGCCCGGGCCAAGCGGCGCCCGGCGGCCCCAGCCCAGCTCAGGCCCCAGCGGCTCCGGCCCCGGTTCCGGCCCCAGGGCGGTGACCCCGGTTCCGGCCGAGCAGGCCCGACACGGCTCGGGCCCCAGCAGCGCCGGCCCTGGTCCCGGCCGAGCACCCCTGGCCCGGCCCGGCTCGGGCCCCAGCAGCGCCGGCCCTGGTTCCGGCCGAGCGCGTTGGCCCAGCCCCGGCGGAACACCTCCGGCCCGGCCCCAAACCCCGCAACCCCAGCTGGAGTGCAGCCCGATTCCTGGGCTCTTTAAAGCCGGTCCTGGTCAGGG